GGTGCTGACACGCAGTCTGCTGTACTGCAGCGTTTTAGCTGATCTGCTTGGGGAGGGGTGTCTTAGTGTGGGGCTCCTTCTGCCGGCTGCCTTCCTCAGGTGCTCAGTGCACCCGGCATCTTGAGAAACACCCCCCCCCCAGCTGTGCAGTATCTCGGCTCTGTCCCCTGGGACGCTGGTGCTTCAGCATGACAAACTGAGGCACGTCAGAATCTTGTTTTGAGACCTGACCTGAATCGCAATAGACATCTTTGGGATGAAGTGGAGCAGTGGGTTCCTGGCACAGCCAATGCAATGTGCTGCTCCAGCTGCTGAATGCCCCTAAGGAGGAATGGATAAAATTCTTATTATGTATGGGTGGGGCGGGGGGCTTGAAAGTATCCAATAATAGACTGTAATTGTCATATGGGCCAAGATATAGGGGTGGTGTCATTTTAATTGTATTACATTTCTCCAGATGTCATGGTGTCCCAATAGTAAAACTGTACATGTGTGTATGAAAGGCATGTGCATTTTAAGGCTTTCCTGGGATGATGGGAAAACAAAAGTCCAGAATGTTGGGACAAACAAGCGGGCAGTGGGGGGGGGGTGTCATGATTAATGGCCGTCACGATTTCGGGTTAACCGAAACTGAAATAACCTTAAAGTGCTAAAAGCGTCGTCTTTAAATTCACAAATAAAGCTGTTTTTCGTTTTGATTCTTGCAGCTGAAACCTGATACGGTAGTGGAGGTGTGGATAGGGAGTAACTATCAGCAGGAGCTCCAAAAAGTAACCGATGCTGGCTACACCACCATCCTGTCTGCCCCCTGGTACCTAGATTACATTAGCTACGGCCAGGACTGGCAGAAATACTACATGGTTGAGCCACTCGACTTTAAGGGTCGGTTAAACTCTTTGTTCCCTTGTCTTGTCGATCTTATCTGAACTTCCTTAGTAATATTGTGAAATGTTGCAGTTCCTCTTTGCTTGCACAAACCTAACCTGTATTTCTTTCCATTATTGAATCCTATAAACTGGGTCTATATAAAAACCAAGCTTTTTTTTGGGCAATGGTAGAAAAGTGATTGCTAGAATTCTAAAATTTGAAACTTTGAAATCTGTGGTGGGTTTAATTACCCTCAGCTGTCAAATGCTGCTTATGATGAGCACTGAGAAGTGGGATAGACTAGTGATCAAAATCTCATAATACCAGTTAATACCAGTTAGTGAAGTTTACTACTTAAACCTTTAGAACGCCATTAGCAACTACGCATACAGACAAACAGTGACAATACGGTGGATTTTGACTTGTTGAATGGCATGCTTTATAATTGCACATTGCCTTACATACATACAGTACATGGACAAAAGTATAGGGACACCTGGCCATTACACCTATAGGAACTTTTCCAACTCCAGGAACTCTCCAAAATCCTGCGGAAAGTCTTCCCAGAAGAGTTCCAGTTGTTACAGCTGCAAAGGAGGAACTAATTCTAACATCGATGCTTATGGATCTAGGTTGGGATGTCATAAAAGTTTCTGTGTGTGTAATGGCCAGTGGCTTTTGTCCATAATTCAGTTCCATCTGGCAGACTGAAGCCCTTCCCTTTGAATAGCTAACATGCTGCATGTGCCTGATGTAGAGACATAGTCTGACATACCTCCCCGGACTGGGTATACACAAGTCATCAGGCGCTGTGTCCGCTGTGTTTGTAGCTCAAACCCGACACAGTCATCCAGGTGTGGAAGGGCAATGAGCAGCAGTACCAGAAAGAGCTGGCGTCCGTCACGGCTGCAGGCTTCCAGGCCTTGCTCTCCAGCCCCTGGTATCTGAACCGCATCTCCTATGGACAGGACTGGCAACAGTTTTACAAGACCGACCCTTACAACTTCAACGGTGTGTTGCGCATGGAAGCGTATTACTACAGCTGTCAAACAGCATTCACCTAGCTTTCATTTTTTCCCCAATGAAAAATCTAACAGACGCTAACATTTATTCAGTTTTTACAGTTTTGGGTCTTTTTTTTCCCATGATGTCAGCATTGGGTTTTTTTAAACAACAACAATAACAGTAACAATAATAATAATAATAATAATAATAATAATAATAATAATAATGTTGTGTGGAATAGAGACCTGTCTGGCAGTCATGGCTCAGACACTAAATAATGATTGTCATACCTTGGTGTGTTGTTCTTAGGTTCTAGAGTAGTGTTGGGTACAGAAGTTCTGTTGTGGCTAAAGGTAAAATCCCCAACAGAACTGTCCCCAAATCTATGTAGGTCACATTTCAGTGACAATAGAACAGTTGTAAGTAGGTCAAATACATACTCCGCTTAGGCTTATATAAAAGGGAACCTGTATGCTGATAATGTATGACTGGCACCATATTCTGAGGCCAAAATCCAGGCCACAGTCCTGCCTGCAGCAGACAGACAGACCATACAAATGGCATTTTCCAACCAACATTCCACACCATGTGGATTAAAACCTTCATGGTGATGAGTTTCGCTGCAGAGTGGTGACCTTTCGATAACACCGGGAAGTGTGGGAAATAGAAGTGATGGCGCTTGTGATCTTCTGGATCTTCTGGAAGCAGACGCCCTCCTGCTGCGTTCTGCCCTCGAGGTCTCTCTGTCCTTGTGGTGCCTAACAAGTGCCCATGTTAACAGCCAAACCTCAGACTACAGCGTATGCAAGGCTTTTAGTGCCATTTAATTCTTCAAATTGATTTGTAAGCAAGTTCCATTATGTGGAATCAAACTAAGTGACCTAATAAATAATGACTTCTAATTTTTTTTTCACCTTTCTGTATCAGAATATCAATTTTCTTTGTTCCAGATTCACTTTGCATGTGCAGCCTTTTATCGTTGCTTCGGTTAGTCCTCTAAAATGGTTTATTCTGGAAAACTCCTAGGAACTGATGCCCAGAAGAAGCTGATAGTAGGTGGAGAGGCCTGCATTTGGGGAGAATATGTAGATGCGACCAATCTCATGCCACGACTCTGGTAATGCTTGCATGATTGGGCAGTTATCTGAATGGCTGAAATGGCTTTTAACTGACTTGCATCTTAAACAGGGTGAACACATGGCTTCTGACTACATGAGCTGGCAATTCAGCTGTAAAAGCAGCACATTAATATGTTAACAGTTAAGCTAGCTTGGGACCAGAGATGAGTAGTTCAGGTCCAGAAAGTAAAAATCCAGACCAAGATTTTGTTCCAGCCAACCAGCTAACTACTCTTTGACTGTTAATGCCCAACTGGTTGATTGAAGCAAAATCTTGGTGTGGATTTTTACCTTTAGTATGTGAACTACCCACCTTTGTTTGGAACCTCAAACCAGTGTTTGTGGGTTCCCAGATTCAATTCCCAGAGGTGCCATTCAGTCTATAATGCACTCTAAAATGTGACTTGAGCAAATTTCCAAAACTCAGTGCAATTTTTGATCTTTTAGAGATGATACCACCAATGACCTAAAGTCATGCTATAGAACTGAGATCCAAAACTCACTCAGTCCTCATGTAATCTAGTGAAGAACTTTCATTAAATTTCACTAAAGTCCACAGAAATGATACATACTTACAAACCTGTCTCATCCACGGATTCTGTGGACAGAGTGCAGTATTAGGTGTTGGCAGGTAGCAGGAGCCTTTGTAGGCCTGGTGTGTATTTAGTTTTTTCTCTTATGTAAATGCCACAAGACGGTGTTGACCATGAGTCTGCCCCCCAGGCCTCGTGCCAGTGCTGTGGCCGAGCGGCTGTGGAGCAGCAAGGATGTGAAGGACGTCAAAGATGCCTACAGCCGGCTGACGGAGCACCGCTGCCGCATGGTGCAGTAAGTGTGCTGCCCGTCACCCTGTTTTATAAAAAATCTGTGAAAGTAATCAAAAAAACTAAAAATGCCAGAAGTCTTGCATTTTGTTTGGTTACTTATGGTTAAGGTTAGGGCTGGGTAGGGATTAGGGTTGTGCCCATAGAAATAAATGGAGAGTCCCCACAAATACATAACAAATCTGTGTGTATGTGGAGACGAAATATGTAGTGAATCAGTGCATTTTAGTTGCCCTTATTATTTGATTGTGGATTTGAACGGCCTCCTGTTCAGGGTGTCTCCTGCCTGCCGGCCCACCCCCCAAATCACCATGCCATCCCCCCCAAATCACCATGGCACCCCCCCCATGGCCTGTCCCTCCCGGCCCATTGTCACTCTGTACTGTATAGGAGGATGCTATAGATGCTATATAGCAGGGCTTCTCAAACTTTTTGGTCAAAGGTCCCCATCAGATTTTTGTTCAAAATCAGAGATCCAGAACAATTTTCAGTAACAAAACAGCATTCCATGAACTTTAATAAATTAACAATAGCCACCAATATAGACATCAATATATAACAAAAATGGGAACTTTGTAACACTCACCGCTTCGATGCTTTTGTCATGGGGGGGGATTATGATGAGTTATGCACCTCATGAGGCAATATGCTTACCACCTGGGTCCAGAATAACCTGCGGTTTGGTCCGCATCCAGACCATGGTCCAGGCTTGGAGAACCTCTGATATATATATACACCCTTAATTCTATGTATTCTTCCAATTCCAGCATACTGATAAGCATGTCTGTTTGAGATTTCATACAGTAGCAGATTCTGTCCAGTGTAAAAGTGTAGCATTTCAACTGAAATTTTTGTAATCTAACTTGGAATCTAACTTCTCTTTTCCTTTTTCTCTTTGCAAGACGTGGGATCCCAGCTGAACCCTTGTTTATCGGATACTGCAAAAATGAGTACAGAGGCTTGTAGGTCGTACACACTACAACAATCACTATTCAATATGATCAAATCAATGTTCTGCTTGTGCAGTTTTTATCATGTGACTTTGAAAACATTTTTCAAATTCTATGAACAAGTCAATTGTACATTATTGTGATCTTTCAACTGCCACAAATTGGAAATAAAATAAAATTGTAGATAAGTGTTGGAAATGGAATGAAATGTGAAATCACTGAAACTGGGTTACTGGTTAAAGACCCTTCAAATATTTTATTGTATGCGGTAATTTGAATGCTGAGGTTTTGGATGTTCTGCATAAATATGCTTGGTACTCTTTGTCCAGCATTTAGTGAGACATACGCAGCAGGCTTTGGCCCTGGCAGTGCGTCAGCAGGCTCCTGGCCGGTCGCACAGGGTTTACACGGGAGACGGGGTCCTTCTGCTGGGTGAGAGTGCAGGCGAGGCTCACACTGCTCTCACAGCAGGCCTGCCATCACAGCAGGCCTGCCATCTTGTTGATGAGGGTGCGCTGGTGGGGCCCGGCCTCGCTGCTCTCACAGCAGGCCTGCCATCTTGTTGATGAGGGTGCGCTGGTGCTGGCGGGGCCCGGCCTCGCTGCTCTCACAGCAGGCCTGCCATCACAGCAGGCCTGCCATCTTGTTGATGAGGGTGCGCTGCTGCTCCGTGCTCATGGCTGCATAGCTGTCCAGCTGCAGGGAGAAGGTGGCGCTGCCTGACGTTAGCGTGCGCAGCACGGTGGAGTAACCCTGTAGACGACACAGTCTATTTCAGTAACGCAACGTTGGGTTATATATGGATATAGTTGTGTGACTTTACACTCGGTCCACTTTGATATCAGACGTTACTGGCGCACTGAGCCTGTGCTCCGCTCACCATGGTCTCCGCCAGCGGCACAGAGGCCAAGACCACCTTGCTGTCCAGGCGGCTCTGGATGTCCCGCACGCTGCCGCGCCTCTGCGCCAGGTCCCCCAGCACGGCACTCAGGTGGCTCTCCACCATCGCGATCTCCAGGCTCATCAGCGGCTCCAGCACCTGCCCCCCTGCCTGCTTCATGGCCTGGGGGCAACGAATAAGGGCTTCGGCCCCTCAGGCTGACACGCCCTAGTACTGCCCACCTCGGACTATAATGTTCATCTCTCTTCAGTACCAAACCTGCTATAGTGCACATCAACCTACACAAAACAGTCATTACAAGATGGATAATATATCATCACTGATGAAAACCACGTGTTCACTTTTCCACAATGATGACTCTTACTGTAGATGGAACACACCCATTCTCTATCTACTGATAGCATTTGACACCTAATAGACCAATGAAAAGGTGTTTTATGAAGTCAGTATTTAACTAGTATTAATGTTTGTACTAGATAATGTTTGTATTCATGGTGAACGTTTGTATGGATTACTTTATATTACTAATTTTAACAAAACGTAGCTAGATAGCTTACATCACCGATAACTAAATATATAAAGCGGGATTAGCTTGGATCTTGCTGACACTGACATATTTGCCTCACTGACAACAATTGACACAAGTCTGTTAAAGCTGTTCACTGACTCACTTTTCTGTTTGTGATGCTGAGGATCGCCATACATTGTTTTTTATGCTCCTGAAATAATGGATTTTTGGAGAAGAATTTTCAATGGACAGTGATGACACACTGCCTGGCCAAAAAAAACAGAAGTCGCCATTTAAATGCCTTTAGCTTTGATTATGGTGCACATTTGGCATGGCATTGTTTCCACAGGCTTATGCAACATCTCACCCTTTATTTTCATCTAGATTTGCATTCATTTCTCACTGAGATCCTGTATTGACAAGTGAGTTGAACCTCCATAAAGCCTCCTTCAGCACATACCAAAGACCTTCAATGAGGTTAAGGTCACAACTCTGTGGTGACCAAGTCATACGTGAAAATGATTCCTCATGCTCCCTGAACCACTCTATGACAATTCGAACCCAATGAATCTTGGCATTCTTGTGCTGGAATATGCCCATGTCAACAGGGAAGAAAAAATCTATTGATGATGGATGGAGGTGTAACCTGGACATTCAGTAGATTCAGGTACTCAGCTGACTTCACTTTATTGCTGCATAACATAGCTGAGCTGTAATAATGATCCAGTCATTGGCTCTTAAGTATTTGCTGATATAAATTCAAATGGCGACTTTTTTTTGGCCGGGCAGTGTATATACAGCATGCCACATGTTCTAGAACTTCATAAGTAGTACTGAACACCACTTAGCTGCCCATTGTTAGCATGAGGGCTATAAAACAGGCACTACTGAGGATGGGATCATGCTAAATAACACAGAGTAACACAATGCGACAAGAGCCTGTTAACCCTAGCAGCATTGAGCATGCAGGCCCTACCTTCAGCATGCAGCGGGACACGCAGGCCGACACCATGGCCATAGAGGTGCCGGACTGCACGCTGACGGCCTGCACCGCCGTGGAAACGCCCTGCACGGGGAATCCCAGCAGTGGACCTGGGTGCGACAGGGTCTCATGACAACCGCTTCAACACCAACATGAATCAATAATTCAACACTGCAGTTTGCGAATGGACATGGGGCAACAATGAGCACTGATGTCACGTAGCCATGGAGACGGCGGACTCGGTTACCTTGGAGGTAAGCGCTGTGTATGCCATTCTGCACGGCATCCTTGATTTCAGTCGCCAGCTGGTCCCCCACACCCTCCCCGAAGGCCACATGGCTGACGGCGTCTTCCTGGGGACTGACTTCCAGGCTCACTGTCACCACATGTCGCCTGTCTCCCAGGGTTCGGTCTAGGGTGTCTGTAAGGTGTTGCAGGGTGTGTGGTTTCGGGAACCAGCATGGCAGATAGACGTGGAAAGGCAGGTACCAGCACGAGGCCTACCTGTGCTCGATGCTGGCTGGAGAACGGTCTCCCTGTAGGCGACCTGCAGAGGGCCCAAGTAGGTGTTGATGCCATACTCTCTCCTGATTCGGTCATGGATGATCTCGATGTGAAGCTCCCCCATGCCACAGAGGATCGTCTGGGGGGGGAGAGGGTGTATGCAGAAAGGCAGAGAGCACCGTGAAGGATACCAGCCACATTCTCCGCTCCCCTCCCTTTCGGCAGAGAGCATAAGGTGACCATCACTCAGACCAGAGAATTCTGGGACAGTTTTTTCCCCCCAGAGGCAAGCTGGCTGCTCATACGATAATTATGCGCTAAATGCTGTGAATCTGACACTTTATGTATTCTCTGGTGTCTGATGTTTGTCTACGGTGCTGTTGTTCTTATTGAGTCGCACTTGTCGGTAGTGAGTTCAAGCCATGTCATAACATACAATAACACAAACTTCACAGGATCCCAAGGTTGGGTTTTATATTGCGTCTCCAAATCAAACTTATCTGTGCATGTTTTATCGTGGACAATTTGGCTAATTTTTTACATATTTTTGTTATTGTGGTCAGAATTGTGACAGGCGGCAAGCCAGACAAATACAAATGTTTCAATATGTAAATTAATATCCACTATAACTCTACTAATATACTAAGCAAATATATAAAATGACAAACTTATTATTCTATGAAAATACCAGTACATAACATGCTGAACTAAAACAGAATACTGGTATACATTCAATTATGCTAAACAAGTATTCTGCTAGAAATCTTTTAGAAACTGAATGCAGAAATCGAATTCTCTTGACCTTTTTGTTTTATATCATAATGAAATAACATCTCATTGCTTCTACACTGGCAACGCAAACACGAATACAGTTGCACCTCTTATCCAGTAACACTGGGACCAAACTGGCATAGGAAAATTGATTTTGCCAACAAATACTATTACGAGCCAGTTTAGAAAAAACATAATTATATGAGACATTTTAAGATATTTTGTAGATGTACATGTTTAGATATGGTGCTGAAGAATTGCAATGCTATGGGTCCCCTCTAGTGGCTGATCATGGAATAAACCATAAAACAAACTGCTTTCTGAAGGGAGTTTAGGGCTGAAACTGAAGCTGAAATTGCTGGTGCTCTGAGTTTTATGGTTGTTTGAGTGGCATTTATGTGACACTGTATCTTGATGCTGAAGCACGTATACCCACCTGTCCAGAGTCTGGGTCTGTTTTAACCTTGAGACTTGGGTCTTCCCTCTGAAGACAGGTCAAAGCATGTTCAAGGTCTTTAAAAAAAAATTTAAAAAAAAGTTTTGTTACATTTAAAGAATTCATATGCACAGAAAGAAGAAGAAATCTAGTTCCGAGTGCCTGAAGAGAACTTGGATTTTTGTATAAAAAAAAAAAATGGTGATGTCTAAGCCAGTGTTTCCCCAACCCAGACCCTCGGGGAACTCCGGACAGTCCACATTTTTGCTCCCAGCCAATCAGGAACACCGAATACCTGGTACAGGTGCACTGGGAGCTGAGAGGAAGCAACAACATGGACTGCCGGGGTTTCCTGAGGACTGGGTTGGGAAACACTGGTCTAAGCAGCGGTACTTCGTAGTCAGGTGCCTACCTGTTTGCTTGGACATAGTTGGGGGTTCAATGGTGCAGAAGAACACTGGGTCTGGGACCTCCACCCCAGCCAGGATCAGCCTTCTGGGCTTCTCATCTGAGTCTGCAGGCTGCTTGTCATCGCCCAGGGCCTGGTGGGCTGCTGCAGATGCAGATGCCTTGGAGGCCACGATAGTGTCCCCTGTGACAGTCTAGGAGGGTGGGGTGTGACAAATAAGGCATCTGTTTGCTGAAATCTTCGAACCAACGACGGCAGGGGGGCGAGCCGAGGGAGCTGACCTGCTTAAGGCCGACCGCCAGGGCGATGTTTCCGGCCATGAGGGAGGGGATCTCCACGTGCTGGTCTGCAAACGGCACCAACAGGCGACTCATCCGCTCCCTGGACAGGTGCACAAGCACAAAGAGGCCCCTAGCATCCGGAAGGCCGCCACAAACCGCCAGTTCATTTATATGCCGTCAATGAAATACTGACGTGACTATATTAGCAGATTAAGTATCAGATACCTTTTTAACCTTGATTGACTTGCTAATTCATTTCTTCACATAAATACAAGGATATGTAGTGGGATTCATTCCCATACAGCAAAACCAGTCCATGTCAACAGAAGTTGTTTCAAGTTATTCAGTCATTTAAATAGAATAAACCCACAGTTAAGTGATTTTACAATGAATATAAATTGAATGAATATTCAGCTTCAGTACAGTTCAATGAGATATTAGCTTCATTTATTGCAGGGAAAGGTGTCATACGTGTTGTTCCTGTTGATGTTGTAAACGGCAGACTGGGTTTTCATAGTGCCTGAGTATATGCGGACAAACACTAGGGGCCCCCGCTGTTTATTATGCACCACCTTGAAGGCCAGGGCACAAAGGTCATCATTGTACCATCGCCTACAGGATGAGAGAAAGAAGAGAGCAGAGGCTTTGATGGGGAGGACGGGATCTGTGCAGAGCTGGGGCACCTGCAGGGAGAGGGGGCGCAGACTCACAGCATGTCGTGGTGGCGCTCACTAGGTGCCGGGAGGTAGGCCGTCACGCCATCGAGCAGCGGCTGCACTCCCTTGTTTTTCAGGGCACTTCCACAGAGCACGGGGACGCCCTTCTGTGACAGGGTCACCCGCCGGATCGCCTGCTGCAGCTTGGAACAGACACAGTGCGATGGCTGTACACTTACTGCAGTGTAACGTACACGCCTTTACCAGCTTGGGGTATGTTATGGATTAGTCCCACTACTCAAGGGGATTAACAACACAAGAGTGGTGATACTCAGTTTGCTGCTGTTATGTTTGACCCACAGACATAAGGGACAAAGCATGGCCCTCGGACATCCTCATACTTATAAACAGTCCAGTCACATGACTTGGGGACGTCTCAGTGTTACATCACTGCTTACTTTTCCAGGTGGAACAGCGTCAAAGTTGTCACCAAACTCCCCCAGCAACAGCTCGGCAAACTCATCGTCCAGGTCTGCAACCTGTAGAAGTCACTTAACGTGAAGTTCTTTTCGACATATTCTTTACATTACACCATTAACAGAAGGAATCAGAGTGACAAAATCTCCTTTAATACAAATCCTTATGAAGATGGATCAAGTGACAAAGAGGGGCAAAGCAGTTACTTAAAAAATGAGACCAGCCTGTCTCCCAACAGGATATATCGTATTACAGCTGGCATGGTATCCCAGTCAGAATGGCAGGAAATTTCCAGCAGAATTATTAACTTTCCTGTTTTGCTAACCTGTTCAATCAGGTTACTCCTGGCATCCCTGGCATTCCTCAGGAATTCTGGGTCATCTGACGAGTCCAGGGGTTTTGTCTCAAATACCCGACCGTCACCGTCAGACTGATGCCATGTCATTCGCTGACTGGTGATTAAATCAACCAATCCGGTGAAGCCTTTACCTCTGCCAATGGGCATCTGCAGGACCAGTGTTACTAATTTCCAGGTTATTTCAGTAAAACAAGGGCAGCAGTATATTAAAATCAGTAAAACTTCTCTCTCACGTGAAATCAGAATATCTTCTGCATCTGTTTTTCATTCACATTGTAAACATTAAGAAACAGTTCAAGACATAAGAATTAATTTAGTTTCTTTGGTATTCTAAAAATAGTTACCTGAACAATAACTGGATTGGCTTTAAGTTTCTTCTTTATGCTCTCAACCGAATCTCTTAAGCTAAAAAAAAAAAAATAATAAAATCTTGACTTAAAAAATACATATTTTTAGAATTTTTTCTAAAATATTATTTCAATGGTCTGTCGATTTTTTGATATTAACAATTTATATTTTCACATGTAATAAACGGTGATTAAAATCATGCTTGATTTTAAAAGCTATCAGCATTATAAGATGACTAATATTTATAGCTGTGAAATAAAACAAACATCACAATAACTGGAATTAATGACAAACATGAATGTGATGAAATGAAGGGGGAGGTCAAATGTCAGGGGTTAGGGGTCAGACCTGGCTCCCGGTTTGTCCATCTTGTTCAGGAAACAGATTCGTGGCACATGGTGCTTGTCAGCCTGCCGCCACACTGTTAGGGTCTGGGCCTGTTGTCACCCCACAGCACGGACACACACAGACATTGAAATGTCACATTTCAATGGGCAGTCAGCAGCTTAGAGGTTACGCACAAGGGCTGAAAACTCACAGATTTGGCCCAGATATAACCCACTTAATCTGAATTACCCAGGATACTGCACAGCTGCATCAATGGGGAAAAAACGGTGTAAAAGCATCAACTATCTGATCAACTAACTAAAACTACCTTTGTTGCCTTCATTCAGTGGTTACCCAAAAGACCTGCCATAAGCGGAGGTGAGTGGCAGTGTAACGCTGTTTCGGATTCACTGCATATCCACAGTAACGCCAACACACACGTAGATGATATTGAGACTGACCATATTGGCTTAACCCACCTCCACTCCGGCTGAAGCATCAAACACAGCCACGGCCCCATCCAGGACCCGCAGAGCTCTCTCCACTTCCAGCGTGAAATCCACGTGCCCTGGAAAACCGCAGTATTGCCCGTGCTTATCACAACACGAAGTTGCATGGCTGGCCCAAGTCGCAGTGACCTGAATGTCCACCAGGGGGCAAATTTTACTACTTGGCCACGGATGCAGTTAATTATGCAAGAGTTAAAGCTGCAGCTGTCGCTAGACTGAAAGTGCAATTACGGTCTGCCTGGGGCTAAAACAGGAAGGTAATGTGAAGCATATAAGACAGTGAACAGTTGTACACTCAAACTTTTTCCTTCTTTCAGGTTGTTTCCTTACTGCTACCTGTCTTCCCAGGCACAAAGAGTCCATACCAGGGGTGTCTATGAGATTGATCCTGTGGTCTTTCCAATCGAAGGTGACTGCAGCAGACTGTATTGTAATTCCCCTCTCCCTTTCTTGAACCATAAAATCTGTTACAGTGTCTCCATCATCAACATCTACAGTAAAAATAAACATGCTATTATTTAATTGAGAAAAGAATAGTAAAAACACAGAACAATTGCAATTAATGGAGCTATACATCTATATGTTGATACTTCTTTGCATTCATTTTTAAAGTAGATTTTCTATTTATCTACCCACCCAGTTTCAAGTCCAGTTCAAGTTTACAATTCTGTATTATAAACGTCATCTGCTTGTTTTCATATTTCAGATCAAATTAAACAAAATGGTAACACATTACTGTGGTTAAGAACTTTAAGTTAATAGCTCCAGGGCCCAAAAAGTTTTTCTTACTGAATTCTTAAGCAAGATATTGTATAGTTCTAACACCCAGCTGTTAAATGTATAAAGATTCACCCAGCTTTGGATGAAAGCTTTTGGATGAAAGTTAAACTATTAAACATAAAATAAACACAAATGATGATTCTGAATTTTGGGGACTGAATATAAGCAGTCTGAGTATTTTGTTTGCTGTATAACTTGATTCTGAATGGTGCCCACACCTCCCAATGACCGGGTGTATCCTGAGTAATACAGCATTCTCTCTGTGGTGGTGGTCTTCCCTGCGTCAATGTGAGCCATGATACCAATATTGCGGATTCTAAAACACAAGCAAGAGCAACAACCACCCTGTTTCAAAATTTTGAAACACGGTTTAATGAAGACAAGTACGAGGCTTACCAAACAGATCACAGGAATCATGAATCACTAAAGTAACCATTCTGATCATAGTAATAGATAAGAAGAGTGTTATCACAGTAAAAATAATGGTTTACACTGTGTCTGATCTCTGAGCACAGGAACTTATCAAAACAAAAGTTTAATCAAAGTAATAATACGTCATATATCACTAGTCATTCATACAAGCTTGATATCAGAATTGCAATATAACTTTCATGATTGGATTGGTGTTCACAAATAATGCACTTCATCAAGGAAAAAAATGGAAAAAGAATTCTGGTGTTATCACACCTACTTCACAAATTCAACTCAAAGATTAGCCATTTAAGAAATATTACGGCAACTTACTTTGATATATCCGGATTGACCACTGATCGCACTGACTTAACATCATCTGTGAATCATAGTAACAAACATCAAAAATATAATCCATATGTCCAGCTATATAATAATGTTAATAGCATTAGATATAATACCTGATAGTTCCTATTGACATGCATATCATATAAGGACAACATTCATACATACCTGGTAGAAAACTGTAATATCTTTTTCCTTGTAACCTCCACCTGCACCATGTTTGAGCTCTAAACTTCCAACAGTGAGAACACTATAATAAGAATAATAATAGACAATGGGAGAGAGAAATATATAAATCAGTAATATGACACCTCAAAAGTCTAATCATGGTTACCATGGTAAAATCTATGGTCTTCCTTACCACATCAAGTATAGCGGCAGAGTTTAGAGTCTTTGCCACCGCTGTTGTAAGAGGCATCATCAGTCACAGGTCACTTAAAATAGAAAATATATATCACAAATTGACACGAACAACGAAAAAATGCTTCGTTTTTACTTCACCGTCAAGATTTATGACATTTACGCAACAGCAACAATCTGTCGACAAACTGTCCGGTGTAACAATTTAAAGTTGTGGATACCTCTAAACATTTAAATAAAGAATCTGTAAGCTGCCAATACAATTCACCTGACCTCATCTCACTCATGTGAAGCGGTGCACTCTCTAAATAATTTCTCCACACACTGCTCTCTTGGTTCCGGAGCTTGGGCCTTAGATATTTTGAAACTGTAATAAAGAAATTAATTATATATCATTAAAATATTTTGAATGTATAAGGATAGACTATGTGACAGTTATTGTCATGCATTAAGTGTTTAAAGAAGAAGGCTAGTAAATTACATTTTTTTCCATACTCAATACTTCCGGTATTATTGGACAAACCGGACGGTTTTAGCTGTGGCACTTCCTTTTATATACGAGCTCGGGAAAATAACATCAAGAAACCCGAGTTACGCTTGGAAATACATTAGTCAAACATTCAGACAGCCGTATCAACCTAATTTAACTACATTCGATTTTGTAAAACACAAGCTTCAACATGGTAAGATGGATCTAAGTTTACATATAGCTTTATATGAATATTTTACGCTTGTTAGTTAACACGTGTTTCTGGAAACTAACGCGTTTCAAAAGTTGTTTTAACAGGTCGGTAACCTTATGGTGTTTTCTTTCAGGGCCGTATAAAACTCTTTTTAAAGTAATGTTGATATGTTAATATTTGACATAAGCATATTGGTAAAGAATTGTCAGTAGAAGGTTTAATGGATATGGAATTAACAGACCCGCCCCTTTATTCGTGGTCATTTGTTACTTTTCTAAACTGTTAAGTTTGCTTAGGCTCATACGTCGACAACTTATTCATCATGGATACACAAAGCGAAGGAATAACCCTAGAATAAAATATTTATTGAGTAACGTAAGTTATCATGATTACTATAATTGCTATTATCTCAAATGATTTTAATGTTGCCTCCCGTTCAACTTAGATGAATGGCATGATAGAGTCCTGTATTTAGTTTGCTCTTTTAAAATTAATGTAACATGGAATGTTTATGACCTAGTGAAGTTTTCACAGGTACTTCTGTCCCTTATAATTTAAAAGATCTGTTAATTTTCTGTTTCATAACGTACCACGTCGTGTTTTATACTTGCTTTTAAGGAGGGACTTGTTTACTTGATCCACATTGACTCGGTAGCTTGACTCATCCCCTTACAGCCCCAGAACGAGCACATTGAGTTACATCGCAAAAGGCACGGCTATCGGCTGGACCACCATGAGAAAAAGAGGAAGAAGGAGAGCCGAGAGGCCCACGACCGCTCGCATAAGGCCAGAAAGATGATTGGCCTTAAAGCCAAGCTCTACCATAAGCAGAGGCATGCCGAGAAAATCCAAATGAAAAAGACGTGAGTTTCCTTTAAAATGTTCCATGTGCTGATATTCATTTTAGTTCATTCATGACGCACGTCTTTGCATCCTTAACCTGAACTACTTTGAGAAAATAAGTGAGGCTTGGGGTCAGAGAACCATAACCATAGTTAAATGTCCGTGTTTGTCGTTGCAGCATCAAAATGCATGAACAACGGAAAACTAAACAGAAAAATGACGAAAAGACCCCACAGGGAGCTGTACCAGCCTATCTGCTGGACAGAGAGGGCCAATCACGGGCCAAAGTGCTCTCTAACATGATCAAGCAGAAGAGGAAAGAGAAGGCTGTAAGTATCCTGAGGATCACAAAATCTGTCACAGCAAATGAAAGGCCAAAGAGCAAATTCCCCTTTGTTTCTTTGTTTCATAGGGTAAATGGGAAGTCCCGCTGCCCAAGGTGCGAGCTCAGGGGGAGACAGAGGTCTTCAAGGTCATCCGCACAGGGAAGAGGCAAAAGAAGGCGTGGAAGAGGATGGTGACGAAAGTCTGCTTTGTTGGAGATGGATTTACTCGCAAGCCGCCAAAATACGAAAGATTTATAAGACCCATGGTAAGGTGATACAAGAGCATTTCTGTTCTGCAAAGCACACAAGGCAGAGCATGTCTTATGATTATTATTATTATTATTATTATTATTATAGTTTATGTGCACTGTGCATGTAGACCATGGAGCAGGTCATGGACATGCTGTCTTTTGTAGGGTTTGCGTTTCAAAAAGGCACATGTGACACATCCAGAGCTGAAGGCCACCTTTTGCTTGCCCATCCTGGGTGTGAAGAAGAATCCCTCCTCTCCCTTGTACACATCGCTAGGAGTGATCACAAAAGGCACGGTCTTGGAGGTCAATGTCAGCGAGCTCGGTCTGGTCACACAGGGCGGGAAGGTCATCTGGGGTGAGTGTCTCTTGGGGTCAGCATCTTGGAGACTTATGGTATCTGATGGTACCTATGATGTCATTGCTGCCAGCAACCCTCATTGGCAGAAGATTAGTCTTCTGTCAAAGGAAATTTTTGAACACAAGATGTATTATATAGGGTCAATTCCTCAGGTTTCCCCTCAAGGTTCTTCAAGCTGAACTCCCTACTACAGAAAGCAATTTCTCTTAATACTTTGGGTATTATTAGAGGTCCTGCTATTGACATGTCCATTGCATGGTGGGAAGTCAAAGAACAGTTTACCTGAAGTATAACATTAATCATGCTTTGTTTTCCCTTGCAGGAAAATATGCACAAGTGACCAACAACCCAGAAAATGATGGCTGCATTAATGCAGTTTTGCTTGTATAATGAACTCATGTTGAGCTGTAATAGAGCCCAAGACAGGGGCTAAAATGGAACAGGACTAATTACTCACAGCAAGCATTCAGTCTATTTAATTGTATAGGCCAACATGCTATATGTACTTTTGAAGATGGCTGGTGGAAAATAAAGGTTTTTCAGATGAAGTACTTGTTAAAACATGAATGAAAAGTATTATTCCTTCTGTGTGACCTGGTGGTTTTACGGAGATAAAAATTAACCCTTGACAAGCAACACATTACATCGATACAAATATCAACTTTGTTTCACTTAAATTTTGAAATCTGAAATCGATGCTTATCGTTCTTGTGTATTATGGTTTTACAAAAAAGATCAACTAAAGAAACAAGGAAGTGGTCAGTGACAGAAATCTTTATTTCCTAAGAATAAGCAAGAAATTAAGAAAAAGAAATGTATTTTTTCCTATATTTACCAAAACATTATTGGAACAGTTCATGATTTAATTTGCTCAGGTACAGGTTTTACAGCCCCTGTCCCAGATTTCAAACATGACCAATGAAGTTGTTTAGCGTTTTCCATTTAGTCCTCATTTAAATTTAACTGATGTCTAACATTTCATCCTAGAAATGGGAGTATGAATACATACAATCTACTTTTCAATTATTTTTTATCACCCCATTCAAAATAACGCCAAGGTCAAGTTAACATGAAAATTGTATCTGAATATTTGAACATTTTCTAAAGGGGCACATACAGGAATTACTGGAATGTGGTTTCAGTCAATGAAAAAAATTTGGCACCAATAACATTCATTTGGTGCCAATGAAGCAACATTTAAAGCCCTTGTATAGTTTACTGAAATATTTAAAATACATATAAAAGTGAGCAAAGGAGGTTTATTTTTCAGTTTTCTGACCCATAGAATCCTTACTGTGTACAAATATAACAGTTTCAAGCCCAAAAATCAAGTGAATACAGGGGAAACAGTATCTTTTAATGCTACTATTTAAACAACCAGTTGTTCATGGTGAATTTCAGTTGAATTTGTGTGCTATGCTGAAAGCGAATTTGCAACAGGACCGTGAGTTAAATATTTGCCATCCAATGTGATGAGTGATTGATTGAAAGAATAGAATGTGCCACTTAAAATGAATCTGAAAGATGGAACACCTCCAATATGAAATATCGATCGGTATGAGTTGTGTTCATGTTTTAAAAGTTGATTTAAAGCATTTCTCATACAGATCTAAATAAAAAAATCCATTTACTCTGGGTTTAATGGGCAATGTCATTTAAAATTTTACAGGCAGATCTACAATTGAAACAATACTCTTGCTAGTAATACAAGGGGGGAAAAATCCATTTTGGTGACATATAGAACTCTAGGGGTTACGTTTCTAGCCTGTCTTCTTCCAAATCCCTTAATTTTTTAGACTTATGTTAGCAAAGCGAATTTGCATTAAGTGTGAATATTTCTGCATCCCTTCCCTTTTAAAAACTGCTACGTAAGACTGCTAGAGGGTATCAGTAGGCTTCTTTCAAAATTCTTCCAAAATTTCCCACTGGGATCAATAAAGTTCATCTTATCTGTGGAATAACAGTCACAACGTCCCTGTTTCAACAAGTAAACATGATGTGTCCAGCATTGTCTTTGCGCTTCAAGAAGTACAAGGCATTACACTTTTGATATTGATGAGATTAATCCAGTAGAGATTTAAGAAAATTTCAAACACTAAGAACAATCTACATTAAAATGGCATAAGCTATGAAGCAGCATTGGATATAGTATCAAAAACAGTGGAGAACGACTACAGAATGGGGAAAAAAGAAAAAAAAAAAACGTAAAGCTTTTTAATAACAACTTAAACTTTATGAATAAGTGTATAATAAAGAAATGTGAGCTCCCCTCTCCCATCTAATATAAAAACTTTCCCAATTTTTGTGGAAACCAAGCAACTGCCAAAAAAACAGCAGCTAGAAAGCTCTCCCAGGTAATGCAGAAATACCACACTTATCCCTACAGTCCTGCTCTTATGTTTTGCTGCGTCGTTTCGGTTTAGGTTTCGATGGCGACTGGACCACCTTAGCTTTCCTCCTAAGTCCTCTCCTGTCCACCACTGGAGGCTCCTCTCCATCATCTGAGCTCTTCTCTGCCGCTTCTTCAGCATTTCTGGCCTTTTCTTCTTCCTCCTCTTCCTCCTCCTCGTCATCGTCATCGTCCTCCTCCTCATCCTCCTTAGGGGCTTTCTCCTCAGTCATTTCTACCTTTTCCTCCGCCATTTCCTCCTCATGCTCCTCCTCTGGTTCCTCGAATGCTTCCACTGGTTCTGCCTCATCATCACCAGGAGGTCTGCTCAGCCGTTTGGATTTGCGTGTAGGAGGTGCTTGGATCACTCTGGCCGTCCTCTTCCTCAGAACTCTCATGTCCGAGACAGGAGTCTCCATCACATCGTTAGAGTCCTTCTCAGCGCTGTCTGTCTCCTCCCCAGTGGCTGCTCCCCGCTCATCCCCTTTAATCTCCTCTTTCATCATTTCTCCTGCATCCTCTTCCTCTACACTGTCTTTTTGCACAACGGCCTCCAACACTTCTCCACTTTTCACATTTCCGTCCTCCCCACACACGTCCCCTTCTAACTCCTCCTGCTGTTCCGTTTCCTCTGCCAATTCTTCTTCATTCTCATTCACTGGTAGCTGATAGGACACCTCCTTCAGGCCCACGAGCAGCACGGTATCCTGACTGAGATCATCATCTGCCAATTCTACTGACATGTCAGGAGCATCTTCCTCTACAGCTTCAGCTCCATGACTTGTTTTCTCCTCCGTCACCTTGTCACTTGATAGTATTTCGACAGGTATGTCCACTTCTTTTGGCATATCTAAAATACTATGTTCTGTTGATCCTGGATCCTTCTCGTTCGTTTCAGCCTTTTTCACCTCTGCCTGCTCAGATACCTTGTCTTTAGTTATTGCAGGAATCTGTTGCTTCATCGGAAGGTCCTCATTCACCACTGGTGATGTGGACTCCTCTTTTGACGAAGGGGCCTCATTTTCTGCCTCTAAAGGAATCTCCTTTTCCACTTGTGATGTGGCCTCCTCAATTGATGACGGTGCTTCCACTGTTATCTCTGGTGAATCCTCTACTTGTATCTCTGGGGGGCTTTCTGGTGGTGCAGTTCTCTCTGGTTGTTCAACACTAGCATCTATTGGTTCCTGCATATTTGGGAAAAATAAAAAATAAAAATTATATTAGAGTTAGTTAATGCCTCAAATAATTAACATGAATTAGATTAATTGGTTTAGTTACTTTTCCTGCCAAAACACAAGTGTTACATTTTATTTTTCATTGCTTTGGTCAAGATTATTTACAGGTGAAATCTTAACTATACATCCAATGTTATCAAGTACCTTCTCCTATTCCAGAAATATGTGAAAATCCTTTAAGCTGATTAAACCTGACCATAAGCTGGTATGGTAGAATCACAGAGAGACAATTCAGCTTCGTCAAGTACACAGACAAGAGATTAAATTTCTGCAGTGCAAGCGAGAGAGAGGATGAGGCCTGTATGTCAGACGGTAAACCCTGACGCCACTACTCAGCCAGTGAAAACCATAAGGGTACAACAGCAAGTCCGGCTTCTACATGCTGGAGACAGAAACAATCAGTATGTAAGAAAGACACCATAATGACAAAACAGTATGAAAAATGATTCAACGGGCACCTCTTGCTGCTTTTTTATCTGCTCTGAACTATGGTAAAAATGTAAAGGATTGTTAAAGTTAATGTAAATATGAAGTTCTACATACAGTGGAAACCACTTATATTAATCACCTGTCTGCAAATTGATCGCTATAAGCAAATGATAATTTTTTTCTTCCTGTCTCAGGCAGATTTCCTTCTAATTGACATTTGTATATTACATAAATATAAGGTAATAGAATGGACAGCATTGCTATTTACTGAATTTTATTGACTCTTTCAAAATACAGTACAGCTGTTTAAAACACATTTCAAAATTACAGTACTGCACAAATTAAAAAAGGTTTGAATATGTTGAATTAAAAGCCCCAAAATGCAATGGATCCACCAGACCCAGCAGGACTCCCTCTGTAACCAAAAAACGAAGACCCTAACAGGGTTAAATTACTGAACTGTATAACTGAAATATGTTATAATACAGTACTGTATATAAAATATAGCTTATCGTGGTTTCACTGTTGCATCTCGTTGGCTGATTTTTGGCAGTTTATCACAGGCATTGATGAGTCTACATTTTTCATTGAGAGAAAATTACTTTCTTTTTTGCCCCATCAGGTTTTCTGTGTAACTAACCATAAACAAAGCAAAGTAGGGCTGTGAAAGTAAATTAAAGCGAAAGGAAAAAAAATTACTGTTAATTATTCCATATGCTGTCATGTACAAAAACCCCAAAATGAACACTCTAAGCAGACTAACTTGATTACTATAAGAAAATAATTTAAACAGTATTGATTCTGTCCCAAGCTTTTGATCCATATAAGCGGCTGATCACTATAACCGTGATATATAAATATAACATCTTCTTTTGCATGCTGCTGAAACCAAAAGGACTGCAGTAAGGGGGAAGAAATGTGTATTTGGACAATGCAACTAGCTGTTTAATGAAAGCCATGTGAGCACAAGGAAAATGACTCCCCCCCCCCATGAGCCTGGCATGCTGAAGTGCAAAATATCAGCGTTTGGGGGGGGGGAAAGAAAAAACAGGCCACAACTGCTCCTGAGAAGAAACTCCTTAAACATCTACAGCCTGGTGTTAAATGCTGAGAACAGGACTCTGCGAGTCTGTGCCCTGGCTTCATGAAGAGCGTGTGTCACTTTATACGTACCTCATGCTCTGCCACCCCCTCGGCATACTGGTGGCTCTCTTCCCCCTCCCCCAGGGCACCGTTCTCCTGCAAAGCGGCTGGCTCCATCGAACCCTCGCTCGTGTCCGATTCTACCTCCCCCACGCTGCTGGCCTGATCTCCATTCACTTGCTCTGGCTCCCTCAGAAGCCCCGCCTCCTAAAAAATTACCCCCCGCCCATGCACAGGTTTGTGAGACTGACCTTACTTCACCAATGTACCAGTTTCAAATATCTGAAATGCCATCACATGACAATTTAAAAAGGCAAACATTAATATATCTTTCCATGGCATGTGTATTGTATTGTGTATCATACCATGCGGATTATGTTACGTAATGGAAAAATACAGAACAAATCAGCCAAAAAGACCTCCTGAGTCTCTCCAAGTTAGAAAAATTTGTTTGTATAGTTTATAAAAAAATATCAATATTTTTCATTATTGTTATCATACTTGAAAAGATATGTTTGCAAGAAACCACATATGGTTAAATTAAATACTGTGTTTGGCCCCAGAGAATGAATATCTAGTGGATATTTGTGATCTGTCTGTTCCTCACCCCGGCTTGAGCCTTGTCCTGGGTCTCCTTGTGCACTGGAGCATCTGAGGACATAACCTCCATCCCATCTTCATCACCCTGTTCTTTCTCCCCCTCCTGCACCTCCACTAGCTCTTCAGAGGGGGTCACGGTCTCTGTTGCAGCTTCCTCCACCCTGGCCACAAGCACAATGACAACCAAGCCGATGTCAACCTTTGGCAGCTTTGCTATTCACTAATTATGGGTAATTTAAATTCCTCATAATTATCATTGCATCAAAATCACCTAAAATTATTAACAATAACCAACATTTTGACAGACAAATAAAACACCCAAATATAGTCACATTAATCATTCATTAGTGAAATAGTAGATGAGTTCTATTCGTGTAAGACTGTATAGTGAGACCAATACAGCAACATGGAAATATCGGAGAACCTGTTAATTTTTTCTGGCAATATTTCTTTAGTGTCTTCTGCTTCCTCCCTCAGCCGCTTGCGCTTGAATTCGCTACTTCTTGTGCACGTTGAAACTGTCGTGTCTTCAGTACCTGAAATGACACCAAAACAGCATGATGGAAATGCACAAGATGCAAACATATTTAGGTGCTTTGGTTTAATGGTGACACCTGTATTCTTTATATTGTACAGCATGGACATTCATAAGGGATCTATCCAGCTCCATCCATCCATCTTCAGCAGGTCAGTGTAATAAAAATACATACCTTCTGTTGTTATGATGTGTTCATTGAGAACATCCACTTCTTTCTTTAAAATAAACAACAGTTTAAGGTTTGATAGACCAAAAAACCGACAGTCCAAAAAACTGAAAATATGAAGACAAACCATGGATTCTGGAGACCGTTCTACCCTGAATATTTCTGTTACATCTTCATTTAGCGACTCTGCTCCTGCAGAATCACAGAACAATATTTTTATTACTATCACCTTTAGAAAAATGTCAGCAATATAGATAATGTCGCTGGACTTGGAGAGACTACCTTCTACAGACATCTGTTGAATCTTACTGGCCACCTGGAACCTTTGGAACGGCCCTCCAACACTCTCAACCTCCCAGAGGAGATCTTGGTCTGCTGGATATGTGCTGAGATAACATCCACACACTGGAGAGAGAGAAAAAATTACATGTTTTGCTTCATACGCTGAAAGACAACCCAAGGCCACTCACCACTGCTGGACCTAATGCTCCCAGAGTCCTCACCTTTGAACATCGCCGATGAAACGGGATACTTCAACCCAAGGGCATCCTCCTTGAAAGAATCCACAAAGTCCTCCAGCATTTGGAGGCCGTGCCCATTGCCTCGATGGGCCTTCCTGACAAATATTGAATCCATTACAGGAAGCAGATAGCACTGTGTCAACAAACTGCTACACAGGCTGCCTGTTGGAGGGAGACAGAACCATCTGAATCACTTCAGGGTCTCCATGTGAGTATGTCACGATATGCATGGTACTTCAGGAGCACAGTGTACAACAGTACAATGCTCAGGTCCCAAAGTGTTGGTGGGCTGCAGATTTAATAGATTTCCCCAAATACTGTTAGTTCTGAAACAATTAAACTTCAAAGATAATACTGATGCAAAATGTTTTTTTTTCCTGAGAAAACACCTTTGGATTCAACAACACAAGGTACTGCAGCCATATGGTTTAAATAAGAAAATCTGTAAAGATTAAATTGATTCCAGTTCATTCTTAAAATTCCAAAGTGTATTACATTGTATTTGTATTAATGCTTTGTTGTAGAAAAAAATGCCTTAAAAACCAATGACTAGGGAATGGTTGAATTACTGATGGTACAATTCCAAGTGCATTTCAGTTCCTAAACCACCATTTCACTTTACTGCATACTTAGCATGACTTTAGTACCAATCTATTATGTTAGGCATCAATGCTTATTCCATTTTAATGGTGTAAAATGAAACATCATCCTTCCATCTTCCACACTGCTTGTCCTATGCAGGGTCTCGGGATTCCGGAGCTTATCCTGGAAGCTACACACATTAGGCAGGGAATAACCCAGGATGGGCGCCAAGCCAGCGAGGCACCCATACCAAAATGAAATACTAATAAATGTTAAATACTTATGGAACTCTCCATTTAAACATTACTATGTGTAGTAATAACCTGCCTGGATTTTCATGGAAAGTTTTACAGGATTATTAATGAACTGTTGAATTTAAAATAAAACTAAAATAATTCCTAAAAACTGTACTACAGCTTGCTTTACTTTTTAAAATCCTGTGACTACCATTACAATAAGTTAAAAAATACATTTAATTCAATTCAGTGCATCTTTATTCAAAAATACAGATTTACATAGTTTACCTTTGGGTTTAACGGAGTAAAATCCAATAGCCTCGCCATCTTTCCAGAGGACTTTGGCATAATCAGTTTCACTATGACAAAGAAAGGGCACTTCGTTTTTGTCGATCTCTTTCGCTCGGTACACTAAGCGATTGAGAACATACAAGACTATCCTCTCTCCTAGTGTCTTCACCTAAAAGAAAAGGGGAGAAATATATAAACCCAGCTTGGTTAAAACAGTCTTGGTGGAAACAACAAGCCCAGACACATGCTTGCATGCACATACAGAGAGAAAAAGCAGCTTCTGTGCAAACCTTCTTCACACGATACGAACAGGACTCAGAGTACAAGGGCTAACTGGGCCAGTTTCAGTCATTGTAGCCTTGGGATGTGATGCATTTTATTACACATTGATTTGAATGAAACCACTGTATGCTAGTTACATGTACCAGGCATTGTTACTGCAAATAATGAAACCTTGTTTTCAATGCAAACTGGTAAGGAGTCAAAAGGCCGAGGAGAGATTTCTACACTGGGCAATGATTTGGATAAAATATCAGACTGGTTACATTTTCACGTGGGGGAGAAATAAAACCATATAAACTGTGTTTTATAAAAGCCGCAACTGCCAAGCTCCATTCATTTAGAACTCTATTGGCAAAATTTATGCACAGACCTCCGCAATTAAATCACACACACATGTACTAGTATATAAAAGTTCCAGGGTATACAGTTCTTTTTTTTTTATTTTTATTTTTTTTTATTGCCCACCACCACCACCCCTCTTCGGAGGACAACTTTATTTTACATTAAATTCAAGAGCAAAGAGTGTAGCCGCTCCGAACTCACCCGTCCTGTGGAAAAAGGGAAAAAAAAAA